GATGTGTTCGTTCTTTGGAACATTCACCGCATAGATTCCATACTCTTTTCCAACACAATTTAAAAGCATCGATTCTTCTGCCTTTCCTCTTGATTGCATATGAGGCATTGAAGCCGCCGTGGCTGGGGTCAGGCACACCTGAATCATATGCAGAACTTTAAAGAAGTCTTTTTGCAAATCTGCCCAGTGTGATGCATACTCTCACTGCTATGGAGTCAATGGACTCATAGTGACCCTGTGGGACAGGGTGGAACTGCCTCCTGAGTTTCCGAGACTGTAACGGAGTAGAAATCCCGGTCTTTCTCCTGCAGACCTGCTGGTGGTTTCAAACTGGCGGACACACGATGGCAAATCAATTCCTAACCATTATGCCACCCGGGCTCGTAGTGCAAGGTACAGTTCTGAGTTGTTGGTTTGGAATTCTCCAAACAGCCCTTGCATTCTTAAATTGGTTTGCTGAAATCCATGCATCGGTGACTGGGACAAGACCTCAGGCCATCAGTGTGCTTTTCTGGGCCAAAACTTTGAAATGTGGTGTGCTTGAAATTATGTAATGATGTACCCATTAAAACGTTTTGTAATGAGATCATGCTTATGATGGCTCATAGCAAGGGGTACTTCTCTAAGCTGGGGTCTGATGGGACATAAGGCAGCTGGGGCTGATGGGGCAGCAATGGGAATGTGGCTGCCATGGTGCCACCACTGGAGGAAGAGGCTTCACCAGCAGGTGGCTGGACAAGCCACTGGCAGTCACTAATGTCACAAGTGCCCACAGTTCTCTGTAATCTTCTAGTGTTGTCGCCAGGGGACACATTAACATAAGCTGAGCTCTTCACCTTGGCAAAAGAAGCTGAATTCACGGTCCTGGATTTTTCTCTGCTGTCAGGCCAGAAAAGGCCTGGTGACCCAAACTGGGAACTGTAGGAACTAGGTAGTGAGTCCCAGCCCCAGAGAATATGGTGAAGGCACCCCTGCAGACACGAGTCCCAGGGACAGCTGGCAAACAGCAGCCTGGATGAACATGACCTTTCTGTCTGCTTTTGCCCTTTGTGTTGGCATCCCTGGGTGCCCACCTGATTCTGTAAGACCAGCTCCAGTGGAAGGGGATCAGGATTCTCCAGACGGGCAAAGCATTTGGTGCAGGAACTGGACAAAGTGCCGGCCTCCACTGAGCGCTGGAAGGCTGGAGCCCTGCAGAGCAGAGCCGTGACTGAAGCAGGAGGCAGCGGGCAGTTGGAAGGTCAGCAA